ATATATATATATATATATATATATATATATATATATATATATATATAATTGCGCAATTCTCAGGGTGTTTAAAATTATTAATTTCGCATTAGCATAAAGGAAGTATCTGTTTATGTATATTTTATTTATATGTTATATGTGTATAGTTATACATATAGTTACCTGTAGTTAAATGTTGCCGTTTTATTTATATGAAAGCTTGGCATATTTTCAAGTATTTCGCACATTTTATAGTGGCTACTCTGTTAAAGTTTGCACACTGGTAAAAGTTCAGACGGGACTGTGTTCCCTCCCCTTCCCTTAATACATAAAATCAATGCATTTGTCAGTGGTAATCACCTTTTTCTGTTTTACAAAATTTATTTTGATAAGACATTTGCCATTTAAATTATTTATTTATTTTTCACCGTTTAGTTACCTTAATGAAATGTTTATAATGGAAGAAGGGTAAATATTATAATGTGAGTCAATTGATTGTATAACTATTGTTGATGATTAAAAAACATAAAAAATGTATGCATTTTAATTACTGTTATCAAAATAAATATTTTTTCTTATAGTAGATTGTGGTGGATCTGGTGATATTAGGAATATGACAGGACGGCGTACTAAGCTTCCTTGTCCGAAACCTGATACTGAAGGATTATCTTTATGGAATCTCTTATGCAAAAATATTGGTAAAGATCTCTCTCAGGTTTCTATGCCAGTAGCACTTAATGAACCTCTTAACATGTTGCAGGTAAGTATTTTGAATTATAATTAGTAATACATCATTTTTATTATTACATCATAATAAAAAGTACATATTTTAATGACAATTTATTAAAGTAATCGAGTCCTATATTTATTAAATATTTAAATTTTATAGGGTTTATAAATAGACCTATTATTTGAATATTTATTTTCGGGGGGCTGGGGGGGGGGGGGGGGTGGTGTATAATAATGTGGGGGGGGGGGGGGGGGGGGGGTGGTCTTGATTATAAAAAGGAGTAGTTGACTAAGCGGAACATTATACTATCTTGCAACATTGAATTGAGATTATGACAGATGAGTTAGTTTTGTTATTTGATGCATTATCATGAAACTTAAATTTATGAAACCTTTATAATTCATATACATTTAACTTAAGATTAAAATTAATTATTTATTAAAAATATTAGTATTATCTAGATAATAAAACAAATCACTGGGGATTGAATTATAACCAATGTTATTACATAAAAACATTTTGCAATGACCTAGTATACTAAACCATTCTGAAAATTAAATATCAGCTTGGAGTTTCTAGCATCTCATGCATCTAAAGTTGAGTTTTATAAGCAAAATTGAATATAATTAACCCAAGATAAATATTATTTGTAATAATATATTAAAAAGTTAACATCTTGTAATATTATAATTGTATAAATAGTTAAAAATGTTCATATTTTTTAACTTAAACAATATTTATATATACTTAGCGTATGTGTGAAGAACTAGAATACAGTGAACTTTTAGACAAAGCATCAGAACAATCTGATGTCTATGAACGCATGGTATATGTAGCTGCATTTGCAGTGTCTAGTTATGGATCCAGTTATTATCGAGCTGGATCGAAGCCATTTAATCCTTTACTAGGTGAGACCTATGAATGTATACGAGATGACAAAGGCTTCAAATTTATTGCAGAACAGGTAATTACATTTTTTTTAAATATTTATTTATACTTTTAAATAAATGTCAAATATTTATCCTCTATTTTATTAATTAATAAATTAGGTTAGTCATCATCCACCAGTTAGTGTATGTCATGCTGAATCAAAAAATTTTATATTTTGGCAAGATGTTAGAATTAAGACAAAATTTTGGGGAAAATCAATGGAGTTTCAACCAACAGGTATGTTGAAAGTAAAGAAATTTTTTTTTAATCTATACTTTTAAATTTTGTTTTCTTATTTTTAGGGTATGTAAATGTACAGTTACTTTGTAATGATAGCAAAGATCATTACAGGTGGAATAAAGTGACAACTTGTGTTCATAACTTATTTGGTGGTCAACGTTCTGTAGATCAATATGGTGAATTGAAAATTACTAATTTGGATAAGAACATTACGTGCAAGTTGACGTTTGTGAAGGTTAGTTTAATTTAGATATTAAAGTATTATAAAAATATTTTTAGTCAAAAATCACAATTAAGTGTTCATTTTGATGAAAAACAATTTTATAATTTTTTGTATTTTATCATTATTAATTTAGGCTAGTTATTTTTCTGCTAAACGCCATGAAATACATGGTGTTGTAATTAATGACAACGAAGGAAAAGTTGTGCGTAAGCTTTTTGGTAAATGGAATGAGGCTCTTTATTGTGGTGTAGCGCCTTCTGCAAAGTGTATATGGAGACCGGGTAAATGCAAATAACCTATTAAAATGTTTAATTTCAATAAAATTATAAACTTTTTTTTAAAAAGGTACAATGCCTGAAGATTATGAATTGTATTATGGATTTACTAGATTTGCAATGGAATTAAATGAGCTTGATTTAGAAATGGCTAAAGTTTTACCAAAAACTGATACTAGATTTCGACCAGATCAAAGGTATTTTTTCACATTAATTTGAGGCATTATTTTAATATAATTAATTTTATTATATTCTATTCAATATTTAAATTTTTTTTAACTGTTAATTAAATATTAAATTACATTAAAAAGGCTATTAGAAGAAGGTGATTTGAACCGAGCTGAATCTATGAAACTTAATTTAGAGCAAACACAGCGTGAACGACGTAAACAAAAAGAAGAAACTGGAGAACAACATGAACCAAAATGGTTTAGAAAAACTGTAAGAAATGGTATTGAAACTTGGGAGTTCAATCATACATATTGGGATGTGCGTAAAAATCCTGGATTTACTAACATTCATTTTGAAAAACTTTGGTGAATATTACCTAAAAGTATCAAATAATCAGTGTGATTTGGTCAGTTGGTTGGTGGTATGGTAAATACATGTTAGCTTTATGTTTAAAAAAATCTGTTGAACAAAACATTGTGAATCAAATAATCTCTACAATGATATAAATTAGTTAATCTAGTCAATATTTTCGTATTAATATATTTGTACTTTTCCAATAATTAAATAATTTTTCTTCCATTTAAAATCACTTTTCATGAATATCAAAGTAATTGAATAGTATTTTCTTATATCCATGTAAAATTTGGCTTCGGCTTACTTAACTCAATGTTTTTTTTTTTTTAGATAACATTGATTTTTAATAGATCAAATGCCAATTTTGTTTTCTTATACACAGTACCTGAATTATACTTGATTATCAAAATATATTTAGTATATATGATTAACTTAAATATTTTAGAATCCCGAGATATCAACAAATTCAGAGTATAAATTAATGAAATTATCTACTCAATTATTTTCATTATTTTAATATATTATTTCATTAATTCAATTATTTTTTCTTTCTGTTATACATTGTATTAATTTCCATGACCTAATCTGTTATATTTATTTAATTTTATTAATTATTATAAAAAGCATTATTAATTATAAAATATTTTTATTGGATTTAATTTTGACTTAACAATTTTAATTTTAAGACTATTAAATTTAATATTGTTGACTTACATTATGTTTAAAACATTGTTGATCCACAGCAAATAATAATATGGTTTCATACAGCTATTGGCTTTAAAACATTTTATCATTATTTATAAAATAAGCTTTGAATAAAATGATTTAAAATTTTACCTATTTCCCATAATTTTTTTTTTTTCAAATAATTGATAACCATAAAAATAACATAACATTTTTTTATCTAATAATTTTAACATTCCAGAAATATTTTTATTTTAGTTTGAAAAACAATGAAATAGTTTAAGACATTTTAAAATGAATTTGTAATAGGAAATTATCATTAATTTAGTTAAAATAAAACATTTAACTTCAATACTGTTGTATTGTATACTGTTAAAATAATTGCAATATATTCAAATTGTTACTCTTATTGTTGTTAATGATTTTATGTAATTTTTTTTTTTTAATTGTGAAATATTAAATTTCAAAACACTAAAAAAAATTTTATAATGAAATAAGCTCAAAATGTATGCTAAGCATATATTTTTCCATTTTAAATGTCAATGAATTAGAAATAAAATATTTAATTTTTTTCTGGTAGTACAGTAAAAGTAATAAAAGCTTAATTTGTTTTTTTTCAATTATGTAATCTCAACTTTTATTTGTAAACAATATAATATATTGTTAATATCATTTCATTAAGCCATATGATAAAATCAACTTAATTTTTAAAACGACATGATGTTAATTCTGTGATGTATTGTACGCAATGGTTACAATCAGTGGCGTAGATTCAATTTTTTTCTGGGGAGGGGTGTGTTTAAGAGTAAGTTTTTAAATGTTCTTAGTATATCTTAAAACGAGATCATATGTAATAATATTACATTTAAAATGGTATTATTATGTTCCGTACTAATGAAAATTATTTTGTTATTCAATTTTTAATACATACCTTATAGTAAAATCAAAATATTTTACTATAATATATAAATATTAATAAATAATAATCAAATATGATTAAAAAAAAAATTTGTGAGAGAGTGGAAACCCCTTACACCCTCCCCGTTACTATGCCATTGGTTACAATCGATTATTACATACAAGTTTATAACGTTAGTATATGTTAATATATATAAATTAAAAATTTACATTCCCAATATATATATATATATTAATGTTACAATGATACATTAATGTTATCGAATGGTTCATATAAATGAGAAGGAAATTTAAAATTTTTATTTTATACATAATTATACTATGAATTATTATTACTGTTATCATTAACTTGTCATTTTGTATTATTTAAGTGTGAACTTTAATTACAATGGAAGGGTGAAATATTCTCATTTAAGTGAACTACTCAAATTAGTTGTCTTAATAAAACTACATATTACATAAATAATATGTATTTTAATTTATATGTTGTACTAGATTTTATTTGTGTAGGTAGGTTGTGGTATATTATATTTTTATTATTGCTTTAAAAAAATCTGTGATTTATAGGTGTTTTTTTTTTAATGTTTGTATAATTAATAAATCTAGATACTATAAACATTATAAATATGTTATTAACACCAAAGAATATATATTTCTTCTTAAAACTTTTTGTTAACATTAATGTTAAAATATGTTTTTGAGTTGTAAAACGTGTCAAATCCATTTTAATAAATTAAAACTATATAAATATTCGGGGTCGACAAGAACTTTTGAGAGCTCAGGGGCTGATCGATTCCAGCTCTCCCATTTACTTACACCTATTCGGTCAAGATATACAAGTACTACTTGTAAATAGATGATAAAAATATTCAAATTCGCATCTTACACTACGACGAATGAGATTGTGAAATTATTTTGAACGTAAGGCTGAGGCACGACGGGCCCTGGGAGTCCAACCCTCTCGTTTTCCCTGTGAATGCTATAGTATATTACAAAAATCAAAAACGTAAAAAATTTCTTAAAAAATTGTGCTTTATTTTATAACCAAACTATCAAACCTCATTTTAAGCTTAATATTTAAAAATATAATTAAGTATACTAATCAAATTTTTGATTAGCATCTCCCCTAAGTTATTACAACTTTAATAAATAATACCTAATATTTAAATCAGTAGTATTATTTTAGTGACTATTGAATTGGTTCCCAATATTAGGTAAAATACCCCATCGAACATTGCTCCCAATACCGTAAGACAGTGGTTCCCAAACTGTGAGGCACGCCTTCCTTGGGAAGTGCAAAGCAAATATTTATATTACACTATCATGTTTTTATTTTTAGAAAAAAGGTCAGATTACAGGTAGCTATATAGATACTGTCGCGGTCGGTCACGGGAAAACCCGAAATACACCATGCAATTATACACATTTATTAAAAAGTTAATTAAAATATTTAAAATATTAAAAAAATTGAAAAAAAAACTATCCTATATTTTAAGTTGGACCAAATTACACATGGTGTGAAAAATTTCATCAAAATCGGTCCAGTAGTTTCGGAGATTATCGCGAACATACATCGTGACACGAAATTTTTATATATACAGATTATATAAATAATAAATTATTATATAAATAAATAATAAATTATATATATATAAATTATTATATAAAATTAAAAAAGTAATTTTTATTTATTTTTTATTTCGACATAAAACGAACAGTATATTTTAAAATCCCGCGCGAATCCGCGATTTTGATGTTTTATAAAAATAATATTATTTAATAGTTGTCATAGGCAATCTCGAAAAATCAATTAACGTTTTTCTTAGTTACCACTGGAGACAGTTGTTGATACCTCGATAGTAGAATTATTCTTACATTTTCCGTCGATTTCGTTAATTTTGTCTTCCGTATTACGAATTTGTTTTGTAATTTATTCGTTTCAAATATGTCAAGAGTATATTTTATTGTTTTTATATTTAATTTGTTGTGGAAGATAAATTAAAAAACAATGAACAACATGGAAGCAATTTGTATTTGTGATATGGTCGGGCACCTGAAAGTTAAGAAGATGATGTATACGAAGAAGAAATGTTCGCTGTGTGATCAGAGATGTCTTTTTAGAGTTTTGAAAATGGTTGAATGCATCGGTAAAGTAGACATATATGACTAGAGATAAGATTTTGGTACAAAAACAAAAGTTTCTAAAAAATACAATTCTATCATCAAAATCCTCATTCTATTTTTGGGTTACTCGCGGGATTAAGTAAAAGTACTATATTCTATCTAAAACTTAAATATTCCGTTTGGCAGCGTGCAATCGTGTGATGCACAAAAGGTGTTTTGAGGTGGCTAAAAGTCAGTTAGTGCTCGCACCGTCCGGCGGTATAGCGGTGGACCAAAACATCAGTACCCTAGCCACTCTTGGCCATAGACGCCAAATACTCGGTGTTACTGCAGACACTGAAAAACAAAAGGCAGGAAACCGCGGTCCAGAGTTAAAGACTGAAGTGCTATGGCTGCGGAACACTAGAAATTCGGCGGTCTACAGGATGAAAGTAGAATTAAAAATCGGCGAAAAGTGTTACGTGGACTATTACAAGCTAGATGTCAAAAAGTTGTGTTGATGGCAGCGGTGATCATATCGGAAAAGGAAAGAAGCTTATGGAAACAAAGCTTACAATAGTTATTTTACCTAAAGCATTAAGAAGTTGGATGATGTAAAATTAAATTGAACATATAAATACAAAAAAATAGTATAGGGTTAGGTATTTTGAAGGCATAGGTAATCTCGTGTTATTATTTGTTGAACGTATAATGTAATTATTATACAACGCGATCGACTTGAAAATTATATTATAAGTTAATAATAATAATAACAATATAATAATAATAATAATATTAATAATACGAAATTGCCTATGCCACAAAAATACCTATAGAATTTCGATGTACTCGTACTAATATGTTCGATTTTTTTTATATCATTCGACTTCTTAATGCACTAGGTAAAATAACTATTATAAGCTTTGTTTCATAAGCGTACTTCCTTTTCTTATTTCACGCTAAGGACAGTTTAAAAAAAAATAAAGAAGCCAATGGCACGTAGAGTTCCCAAATAGCCATCCACCCAAGAACCAAAGTACGTTTCAAGGCGCCAGTATCTGTGAATAAGAAAAATTGTTGAAATTAACAATACACCCAGTATATTTAGTATGTATTAGTTTATATTCATCCTGTAGTTTTAAGTATATATGTATACATTATTATTGCCAGCGATTAGTGTTGAGATGGCACATTCTGTATGTCGGGTATTGTAGCACAGATATACTAAGGCAGTCTGTCGAGACAAGCGACCGATTGCCGTTGTACGAAGTGCGTTTTATATAATCTTATTATTTATTATTATTATTATTATAATTTCACGATATTAAATTGTTTATTAATTTAACTTAAACGTGTCTGTATTAACTTATAAACCTATTACACTCAACAAAAATATATTGACTGTTTTTCGAGATGCACACATTTTGGTTTAACCTAAAGCTGCGTCTAAACAGGTCGACCGCGGTCAAATGACTGTTGCCGTGCGACAAAATTGAAAGAAAATTTAATTTGTAAACCAATTTTCGACTTAATCGCATGATCAATGATTAAATTCGATTAAAGTTGAAAATCCGTCTACTTTTGGTCATTTTTAACAATTCGGTCATTGCCCTATGGCTAAATTCGACCATTTAAACAACTAGGCCATCATATTGTACTAAATGATATTTCTATTTTCAATCTTGATGACAGTGCTTTTCGCATATGTCAAAATCAAGTAAACCGCTTTTTGGTTTTAATCGAATCGAATCATTTAGTCGTGT